CCTTAACATGATTGCTGTTGTTCTCTTCACTTTCCAGATGAGGACACTTAAGATAGAGAGAAGCCGGGCGCGGTGGCTCACGCCTGTAATCCTAGCTCTTGGGAGGCTGAGGCGGGCGGATTGCTCAAGGTCAGGAGTTCAAAACCAGCCTGAGCAAGAGCGAGACCCCGTCTCTAGTATAAATAGAAAAAATTAATTGGCCAACTGATATATATATAAAAAAATTAGCCGGGCATGGCGGCTCATGCCTGTAGTCCCAGCTACTCGGGAGGCTGAGGCAGAAGGATCGCTCGAGCCCAGGAGTTTGAGGTTGCTGTGACTAGCTGACGCCACGGCACTCACTCTAGTCTGGACAACAAAGTGAGACTCTGTCTCAAAAAAAAAAAAAAAAAAGATAGAGAGAGAAAGTAGTTTACCCAAGGACACCTAACTAGGACATGAATTGGGCTGAGATTTGCAACCAAGTTGGTTTGACTCCACTATACCCTACTGGCCCTCTGAGAGAAAAGAGGATCGGAGGAGTGTGTATGTGAGAAAGGAGCAGTTGCGCCCCTGTCCACTGTACGGCTGCAGTGCCCACAGGAAGGGAGGAAAGGGTGAGAGGAGAGCCGGCTTCGAAAGGAGATGCTTTCATTGCTTGGGGGGGCAAGGGCCGGGTGCTTATGAGGATGCTGAGAAGAACAGGAACACCGAACCCCCAAATAAAATGAGATCGTTTGGCTGGGCGCGGTGGCTCACGCCTGTAATCCTAGCACTCTGGGAGGCCGAGGCGGGCAGATTGCTCGAGGTCAGGAGTTCAAGACCAGCCTGAGCAAGAGCGAGACCCCATCTCTAGTATAAATAGAAATAAATTAATTGGCCAACTAATACATATAGAAAAATCAGCCGGCATGGTGGCGCATGCCTGTAGTCCCAGCTACTTGGGAGGCTGAGGCAGAAGGATTGCTTGAGCCCAGGAGTTTGAGGTTGCTGTGAGCTAGGCTGATGCCATGGCACTCACTCTAGCCTGGGCAACAAAGTGAGACTCTGTCTCAAAAAAAAAAAAAAAAAAGAGAGATTGTTTCATGTGTCCAGCGAGCCTGACTGCTATGCTATTCCTTTCTTTTTTCTTTTTTTTTTTTTTTTGAGACAGAGTCTGCTTTGTTGCCTAGGCTAGAGTGAGTGCCGTGGCGTCAGCCTAGCCACAGCAACCTCAAACTCCTGGGCTCAAGCGATCCTTCTGTCTCAGCCTCCCAAGTAGCTGGACTACAGGCATGAGCCACCATGCCCGGCTAATTTTTTCTATATATATTAGTTGGCCAATTAGTTTCTTTCTATTTTATAGTAGAGACGGGGTCTCGCTCTTGCTCAGGCTGGTTTCGAACTCCCGACCTCGAGCGATCCGCCCGCCTCGGCCTCCCAGAGAGCTAGGATTACAGGCGTGAGCCACCGCGCCCGGCCTTATGCTATTCCTTTCTGATGGCTCAGAGGCCACACCACTGGGTCTTCTATTTTCTGCTGTGAGCAGCCTGCTTCCTGGCTCCCCTCTCAACATAGGGCTGCAAGAACTCAGGGTGGGGTTTATAAAGAGCTGGAATGGGGGTGTTGCCTACAGTTTAAATTCTGAGCCTCCAAATAAAAGCTTTGAGGCTTCCGATCACTTTGGAAAGGCAGAGGAGGTCTCCAGCAGAGAGGGCCCTCCCCACAGTTCCGGCAACTTGGGTGGTGTACACGATTATACAGCCAAAGAAAAGCCAAACGGCCAACCTTACTCAGCCTCAAACACCTCACACACTCCCACCCGTGTTCCTGCTAGTGGCAGGTATTTTTAGAGTCCTGAGCTCATGGTGTTAAAGCATCTGCCACATGCCTCAGGGCTGGTAGGGATTCAGCCTTTCTCAGAGGCAAGAGTTAAGACTGGGGGGTGGGGCGGGCCGTGGTGGGAGTGGGGATCATGTGCCAAGTGGTGATGGTATTCTTGGCCTATACCTGCTCTCTTCTCACTGACTTCCATCCCTCTCCTGGCCTGTTCTCCCTCTCTTCCTGTTCAGAACAACAGAGATGTGGAAGAAATGAAAATCTGTTCTGTCTCTGCTTGCAGAAACAAGTCAGCCTTCGAGGACTTATGTTTTTCGGTTTGACCAAAGTCAGACGTTCTCTCTGAAATTGCCTTAGCAGATGCCTAGGATGCCACGCTGCTTGTAGTTTTGGTGGCTCAGGTCAATCCTGCCTTTTGATAATGCTGTTCTTGACGATGACGACGACAAGCAAAGACTGCTTCTAGTTTAGCTGGACAGACTCCAGGAGCACTGATGAAACAATTAGAAAACACATAAATATATTCTAAGTGGTATGACACAGACTCAAAGTGCACTAGAAATTCCTACGAAAAGACAATTCAAGAGAAATTGGAGAAGGTTTGAGGAAGAAGGTGGAAGCATAAGCCAAACCTTGAAGAATGGGTGCAGGGCAATGAGGGGGGCAGCCAATTCGATGGGGAAGGGTGGACCTGCAGGGCCAGATGTGCACAGGATAGAGCAAACCAGGTGGGGCTGAGTAGTTTGAAACCAGCTTGGGAGGGGGCAAATTATGGCAGGCAGAAAAATTTCCATTTGATGCCACGTGCAGTAGAGGGCTATGGTAATTTTCTGAAGAGGAGGATGACATGAGGATATAAGCAGGGATTTAGGAAGGCTAGTCTGAAAGCAGTAATCAGGAGACACTGAATCCAAAAGACTTTGCTGTAGTCCAGGAGTGAGAAGAGGAGGGTCTGGCTGACGGACATGAACACTGAAATAGACGAAGGGGCAAATCTGAAGGTTGTGCCAAAGGAACTTAAAGGCCATGTCGATAGAGGAGATGCAGGGGAGGCTGGACAATGAAAACTACTGTTTAGAATGATGACTCTGGGGCCCTGTAAGATCTTCACTCAGCTGAGAGATTCAATTATATTTACTAGATTATACTTACTGACTGCTAACTCCAAATAAAGGCTATACTCCGTTTTAAGAGCCGTAGTAGTCAATTAGTGGCCATAATCAAATTTTCTTTGATAACTGAGAATTGTATAGGGCCTTGGGACCTTCATTCTGAGCATGAATTTTCCTTGTCCAAGGCATTGGCTGTATAAACGGTAATAGATTAGGCTGAATGTGTGTTGACTCCAGAGTATCCCCTGGGAGTTGTGTCTTTGCATATGTTACTGATATCAGCTGTTTTTCTTCAAAATTTGGCCTTTATCCCAAAAGCTGAGATGCAGAAGAAAAATCCAGTGAGTTAAATGACCTTATATATAACAAAAAAGTGAACTTAAAAAGAAATTGATGTTCTTCACATAGCAGTGCTGGGAAAAAAGAAAAAGTTATTAAGTAATATAAATTATATATTTAAAAAAAAAGAAGAAAAAAGAAATTGAACTAGAAGGTGAGATTTTAACACTGACTTTATTTTCTTTAAAAAGTACTGCAAGACGGGCACGGTGGCTCATGCCTGTAATCCTAGCACTCTTGGAGGCCAAAGCCAGAGCATGGTTTGAGCTCAGGAGTTCGAGACCAGCCTGAGTAAGAGCGAGACCCCATCTCCACTAAAAATAGAAATAAATTAGCTGGACAACTAAAAATATATAGAAAAAATTATCCAGGTGTGGTGGTGCACACCTGTAGTCCCAGCTACTCAGGAGGCTGAGGCAGAAGGATTGCTTGAGCCCAGGAGTTGGAGGTTGCTGTGAGCTAGGCTGATGCCACGACATTCTAGCCCAGGCAACAGAATGAGACTCTGTCTCAAAAAAAAAAAAAAAAAAAAATTAAGTAATGCAAAAAAAATCCCAACTCAAAACAAAGTAATGCATGCTTTTAGCAGAAAAGTCAGAAAATGCAAAAAAAGAAGAAAATAAATATCACCTATAGTCCCATTGCACATAAATAACCGTTAATGTTCTGATATATACATTTCTAGTCTTTGTATATGTCTGTGTTTGGTGCTTTTAAAAAATTGGGACCATAGCGTATGAAAAATTTTGTATCCTGTTTTTTTTTTCACCTACATGTATTTTGTGAGCATTCCCTTTATCGTTTAGTCTTTGAAAACATTTTTAATGGCTGCAATAATAGCCCATTGTCTAGATATACACTTTAGCTATTCCTCTTCTGATGAGTGTTTAGGTTGTTTCTCATTTTATAAAAAGTCTAAATAATATTGTGATTAAGATCTCTGTATAGAATTTTGACCACATCACTGCTATTTCTTATCTTGAACTCGTACTCCAGGCATCAAGCAATCCTCCCACCTCAGACTCCCAAAGTGCTAGGATTACAGGTGTGAGCCACTACACCCAGCCTCTGCTATTTCTTTTGTATAGATTTCTGGAAGTGGGACTACAGGCTCTAAGAGTTGTAAACATTTTGAAAGTTCTTGATAATATTGCAAAATTGCCCTCCAGAAAAGTTGACCAATTTACATTTCCAGTTTTTCAGCTAAAAACCTCAAGATTTTTTAACTCAAGATTTTCAGTGAACACAAATTCTGAAACTTCTCTGTAGGCTTTGATAAGTCTATCCTGCTAATCTGTCAAAAGAACCACTTCCTGTGTCAGGGCTTGCAACCTCATTTTTTTTTTTTTTTGAGACAGAGTCTCACTCTGTCACCCTGGGTAGAGTGCAGTGGCTTCATCATAGCTCACTGCAACTTCAAACTTCTGAGCTCAAATAATCCTCCTGCTTCAGCCTCCTGAGTAGCTGGGACTACAGATGTGTGCCACAATGCTCAGCTAATTTTTCTATTTTAGTAGAGACTAATTTTTCTATTATTAGTAGAGACAGGGTCTCACTCTTGCTCAGGCTGGTCTCAGTCTCCTCGCTTAAGCAATCCTCCTGCCTCGGCCTCTCAGAGTGCTAGGATTACAGGCATGAGCCACCACGCCCAGCCAGTGTAACTTCATTTTTATAATGCTATAGAACCATGTTTTCTCCTATCTGTTCATGTTTCCTTTTCTGACTCCACATATGGGTTTTTATCTCTTCCAGGTTCAGGTGTGGGACACAGCAGGTCAGGAACGTTTCCGCAAAAGCATGGTCGAGCATTACTACCGCAATGTGCATGCCGTGGTCTTTGTCTATGACGTCACCAAGATGACATCTTTCACCAATCTCAAAATGTGGATCCAAGAATGCAATGGGCATGCCGTGCCCCCACTAGTCCCTAAAGTGCTTGTGGGCAACAAGTGTGACTTGAGGGAACAGATCCAGGTGCCCTCCAACTTAGCCCTGAAATTTGCTGATGCCCACAACATGCTCTTGTTTGAAACATCAGCCAAGGACCCCAAAGAGAGCCAGAACGTGGAGTCAATTTTCATGTGCCTGGCTTGCCGATTGAAGGCCCAGAAATCCCTGTTGTATCGTGACACTGAGAGGCAGCAGGGGAAGGTGCAGAAACTGGAGTTCCCACAGGAAGCTAACAGTAAAGCTTCCTGTCCTTGTTGAAACCAAATGGTGTAAATACAAGATAAATTATTGCTGGAGTTTTTTTCTTTCCCTTTTTTGCGTGCCTGCATAGCGCTGACACCTGCTTGTTTCCGTACAAATTGATATCAAAATAAAATTTGTATAGATTATCAATGACTTTTTGTCTTGATTTCCTCCAAGAAGACATTTCTGATTGTGATGAGAGGAAGAGGCAGCTTGCCCTCCTAGAGTGATGTACCTGTGCCAAGGCATACTGCCTACCAGCTTCCTATGCTTCCTGACATGCTCATTGTTTGAGTCACTTCTTCAGGACTAATTTATTCTCTCACTCAGTATCATCAGTGGGCAGAAACGCCTGGTGAGGATGGGACAAGGGCCAGATATGTTGTTCTATAGAGCCAAAGCACATGGAGGTATAGAGAAGTCTTGAAAGGAGATATGGACTCAATCAGTACATCCTGGGTTCCCTGGGCATGTGCCTTGGATGCTGAGATAGGTTGTTCTCTCCCTATTTTCCAAAGTTTAAGAATAAAAAGTATAGGTTGCCCAATGGGCCCAGTTGCTTCCAGAATAGATCCTTCTTCCCATTTGTCACCAGGCAGTCTTGGACACCAAGAGCATTCTGCCACACCCTGCCCTTTCTTGGATGGGGCTGGGCTCAAGCTAACAAATATCTGTTATGTCCTGAGACCTTTGCTGGGTGCTATGGAAGAAACACACCAAGAGAACACGTCCCCTATGTTCAAAGACCCCATGATCTAGTGGATGGGGCAATGTACATGCTGAAACTACTTGTGAACAAAAATTAGACAACGATGTCACCAAGTGTGAGGTTGTGCCATGGGAATGGAGAGCATTTATATATTCAATATCAAGGAGGGCTCACAGAAAAATAATTGGACTTATTTTGTATGTTGAATAAAGTACATTTGGATTGTTAAAGAGGAAGGGAGTGGGCAAAAGTAGAGAGGCAGGAATGACCTTGGGGGTTGGACAGGAAGACAACTGGGAGCCTGGCCTAGGAGAGCTGAGCAGCGCTCGTGGGGAGCTGAGGTTGGGGAGGGCCTGCACAGCAGGTGGAACAGTTTGCATTTGCTTTTGGAGCCAATGGGAGTTTTAGGTGGTTCCCCAGCAAGAGAACCCTATAGTTATTTCTTATAGATCTGCTCCTATTGATGTGAAAGCCCCTTGTCCAGTTGTTAAAGTAACTAAAAGTGGCTAGAAAGGCCTATCTACAATAGATTTCTTTGCTTAAGGGGTGCTCCTTTAGGGGGCTCTCTTGTTAGAATCATGTTGTACGAGAGCCCTGGGAAGACAGCTCCTGACCACTTTCCTGTTACGTGTATGCAGCTCTGCTCCCAGACAGTAAAACGGTAACACACACCAGATGTGCTTCCCACCCAAATAGCCTGTCTGGTCCTGCCTGGCTTGTCCCTATAGCCCTCTCCACACCACCCCATCTCCAACTAGCCTCAGGCTCAGCTCAGCCCCCCAGTCTGGTTCTCATCACTTGGCTTCTGCCTGGATCCTAGTATTTGCAACCTGCTTGGTACTCCAGTTAGAGCTGCATTTCTTCCCAGTTGTCTCCACCCAATGCCTGGCCCCTGAATCTCACCCAAGGGGCTAAGGTCCTATTGTCTGTGGATGAGCTGCTTGTCGAAACCCTGATTGCTATGCTTCTCTCAGATGGAATGCCCCATGACCTTGTCTCAGACTCCAAATGCTGGTTCCTTGCCCAGGACACAATCTATTGTGGCATCTTTTGGCTCCTGTGACCTGGCTGCAGGTCTGCGCCACCTCTCAGTGACTGGAGGTACACTTGTCTATTTTAATGTGTGCATTTCAGTGGGTTCTGGCCCCTCTTGATCAGGGCCTCTTTCTGCTATAACAAGGCCAAGATGACAATGTTCCGAGTGTTACGAATCCCCTAACCAAGATTGCCTCTTCTTAGACCTCGGTTGCCTCTGACACCTTTCAGGCAGTAAACAAACATTTACTGAGCACCCACTATGTGCCACTGTTCTAAGTCCTGGGGATACATAGGTAAACAAATAAAATCGTGCTCTTATAAAGGAGACAGACACTAAACAAGAAATGAGATACCTAAATGAGCTCATTTGAGAGAGTGACAAGGAATCTGAGGGCCATAAAACAGGGCAAATGAATGGAAAGTAAGAGAGGTTGGGGAGGGCAATGTATTAGCTAGAGTAGTCACAAAAGGCACCTCTGAAGAGATACCATTTGAGCTGAGGACTGAAGGAAGAAAAGCAACCAGTTGTGAGATCAGGGGGAGGAAAACCTCACATGGAAGAAACAGCAAATGCCAAGGTCCTGAGGCAGGTGAGAAATTGGCATGTTTGAGGGACAAAAAAGAGGCCAGTGTGGCTGGAATACAGTGATCCAGGGAGAGAGTGGTGGGAGATGAGGTAGAGAAGTAGGTAAGGCCAGGTCTACCAGGGCCCTGTTGGCCATGACTAAGAGTTTGGGTTTTATTTAAGTGTAGTGGGAAGCGAGTGGATTTTAGCACCATCTAGACTCAGTAACCTTTGGAAAGATTCAGCAGGCTTGCTGACCTGCAAGAAAGAAAAGCCGAGTGGGTGCACTAGCTCATGCCTGTAATTCTAGCACTTTGGGAGACTGAGGTGAGAGGATGACTTGAGGCCGGGAGTTGGAGACCAGCCTAGGCAACATAGTGAGACCCCATCTCTACAAAAAAAAAAGAAAAAAATAGCCAGGCACAGTGGCACACACCTGTAGGCCTAGCTGCTCAGGAGACTGAGGCAGGGTGATTGCTTGAGTCCAGGAGTTTGAAGCTTCAGTGAGCTATGACCGTGCCACTGCACTCCAACCTGGGTGACAGAGACCCCATCTCTTGAAAAAATAAAAAATAAAAAGGAAAGCCTCTACTTTTTCTTAGCTCCTCTGAGACGGATAGCTAGTGCTTCCTGGGTGACTCCTGAGTGTGGGCCTCAGCACTGCCACGTCCATGCTGGCTGGTCCCCACCTTAAAACCAGACTCTGAACACTCCCACTAGACTGTCACCTTTTGGTCTTGCCAAGGTTCTGATAGTTTTGCTGCAAATAGCAGGCACTCACCAGTCCTACCTGCTTCTGTCCTCTGTGCCTCACCTGCCTGATCCTTTCCCATCCCACAGTATGAGACTGTTCTCCCTCAGCCACGTGAGGACAGCCAAGAAGTCCTAGGGCTCCCCACTACAGTCCCAGGAATCCTGAGAATCTCCAGGCTCCACCCAGATCTTCTCTTAGTTCCTTGCAGGGGTCCCCAGTTCCCCTCCCAGGGGGCGGGATGCAGGGGAAGATGGTATCCTAATACGGAGCCAAGACATTTCAATAGGACCCCAGCATTGCTAGTAAGATCCCTTTCGCAGCCCCAGAACTGATTGATGGCCACAGCAGAGTTGCATAAGGTGCTCAGGCCTCCCTCAAATTGAGGGAGATGATTTGGGAATGGGCTGGACCCAGAACATACCCAGTGGAAGGGAACCCAGAAGGCCAGAGAACCATGAGACCCTTGTTGCCGTGTGGGTGGTGAGGAGTGGAGGGCTTCAAAGGAAGTAGAATGTTTCCAGGCTCCTCATTTGGCCTCACCATGTCTCTGGAACTATCCATGCTTGTTGCCATGTTTTCTACAGTGCCCCTTCACTCTCTAGACCTGTGTCCTGGGGTCTTCACCTGTGCTACAGAGACAGGACCTGGAGAAATAACTTCTAAAATTTGAATGTCTACTACCATGGGCCATGCTTGAACACTTTACATTCATTCACTATGTCATTTAATACTCCTTTAACCCTGTGGGGTAGGGATAATGATTTCCATTTTATGGACAAGAACATGGATGCACTGATTTAGTGACTTGTCCAAGGTAGTGAGTGATGAAATGAGATCTGTCTCACTTCAAGTTTAGGCTTTTTCTACAATATTATACTGTCCTTCCAGTGAGTTTCGAGCTCCAGGACCCTTGCGGGGGGGGGGGGCAGGGTTAGCCCAGCCAGTCTCCCTGACTCACAGGGGTTTGGCCACCAGGCCATTCAATATCCAGGAGGTGTCTGGGACATGCCTCCCTGAATAGGATGTCCCTGACTGGTTACCTCCAAGAAGCCCCACTGATTGACAGAAGTGTTGGCTCTGGGAGTCCAAAGGAGTCCCCAAAATGTCCTTGCCTTGGACAATCGTTAGGAACCACATAGCCAGCTGGACTCCACTGCAGAGCCTTTGGGGCTGTATGTCACTGTCCCCTACGCCCCTGCACTATCCCTTCCCCCAGTGCCTTCTCCTCTGCTCAGGGCCCCGGACTATCTCGGTAGGGTTCTCCAGTCAGAGAGCCCAGGACCAGGTGCTGCTCTGCTCACCACCACCTCGAGCAGTGGCGGGGAGGGATACCCAGCCCAGAGTAGCTGCAGTAGCCCACCCCTCGCCCCAAGGGAAGCTGACTGTAGCCCACCCTGAGTGTGTGTTCGGGGTGGGTGGAAATATGCTGAGAGCTCCTCTAAAGGCAAGGCTCGGCTTCTCCTGCAATTTTGACCAGCAGATGCAGGGAGAGGCCAGTATTTATTCTCTTGTAACACCTGAGGGGACAGAGTTGCCACCTTACCTTAAAGAGGCCCCCTCTACCTGCCATCCCTCATTGCCTCACTGAAAGGGTCCTTGCTCCCTCTGAGATCCCTTGAAGATCCCAGCATGATTCAAATGGAGTGGCCACATGGGCTAAAACCTTGTTTGGATTCCAAGTACTCTTGACTTCCACACCCCTAAGGGCTGGTGCTGGGGCAGCAGGACTGAGATGGGGGTCCCAGAGATTCCCCTAGATTAGTTGTTCCCAAATACTGGTTCATAGCTGACTGCATGAAATCAGTGGGGGACTTGTTAAAATACAGATTCCTGGGGCACCAACCCCAAATGCTCTTGCTCAAGTAGATTCGAGAGCGGGCCCAGGAATTTGTAGTGGTAAAATGTCCACAGGTGATTCTGATGTGCCTCCAGGTCTCTATGTATGTGCACGCGTGTGTGTGGCTGCACCTACACTTCCTGATGAGTTCTAAAATGAGAATCTACTTTTCCTTAGCCAGAGCTTCAAAACCAGCTGCGTGAACCCCAGGGCGATCTGGTTAACTACAGAACACGGCCTGGT